AGCATCCTCCATCATGCATCCCTTAGGACATCTTGGTCCAGCTGTAAATCAAATTCTTCATCACTCCAGGTGCAGGTGCAACCTACCCCTTTGGCTGCAACAGAAAGAACCCCTCAGGTCACCAAACTCTTGCTGGGAAATAATTTGCCTGGTGTAATTTTATTTGCTTGGGGAAAAGTGATGTTCTTGGAAATAAGCCATAAGTTTTGGGATTTGATTGAGGATCTGCAGGGCTCAGCAGGCAGTGGAATTGTAGGGGCCTATAATGAAATTTGCATCACAAACCTATGAGGGCTGCTCCAAAATTGTGCCCCTGTTTTTCTGATGTTGGCCCATGATGTCAGAGTCTGATGTTGATGGTATGGCAGTAGAGATTGAACTTTCCCAACATTGTCCCATTGCATCTTGTTGCCATGTGACAGGTGGCAGCAGAGGGGCAACCTGACAAAACGGAGTCTGACATGGAAATGTGTACGAAGCAAAGGTGTGTCACTGAACTCCTCCATGGAAAAAAAAACACCCACTGGCATTTATTGACACGTGCTGCACATTTATGGACACCAAACAGCGAATGTGAGCTCAGTGATGGATGGTATATTTAAGCAGTGACAGCTGCAGGTCATCTCTGCTACTGCAGACCATTACAAGTGCAGCATGCAGGTGCTTGTTCATCCCTGGTGAAAATGCACAGCTAATGGTGGTGATTATGTTGAAAAATAGTGTTCTGAAACTGAGAATTTGCTCTATCACATAGTGCTATTCTGCTCTTTGTATCTGTTGTAGTTTCCATGGAAACAAACAGGGGGCATTATCTTCTGAGTGACCTATCTAGATATTTGCAGACTTGATGGGACATGATTTTTTTTTAGCTGTCTGCTTAATCTTTGTTCTTAAAAACCCAAAAGGTCCTAATCAAAACCTGTGGAGTCAATAAAAGAGTTGAATATTTCCGTCTTTTCTCTCCCCAACACAGATGCTGTAGAAATAAAAGTGCTACTGTGACAAAGTATCCCAACTTCACTTTTCAGAGAGGAAACTCTTCAAGCATGTGCCAAGCTCAAATAACAGGAGGAGCTAATAAATTCCTATCCCTTAAGCATGCACATTGTCCTCAGTATGCAAGGTCAGTCCTGGCAGGCAGTGAGCATCTACAAATGGAAGCCAAATTCTGTACATAATTTTCTGAAGAGCCATTTTGGGAAGATGTCTTAACGTTGCATTGACATGCTTGCAGTGCCTGGTGAGAAACAGCTAATGCAGGCTGGGGACAAACATGGAAACTGGAGATGCTTTTCTTCCTCTTTGCCAGCCTACCCTTCCCTCCAGCAGAAAGAATGGCTGCCACGAGCAGAGCAGAGGCAAGAGATACTACTGGGCAGTCTTCCTAAACCAATAGGTTACGCACAGCCCTTTCAAGAATTTGCAATATGGAGTTCTGTGCTCTGATGAGCAATTAAATGTGGAAGGGTAGGATGCTGGAATTAGTTCATTAATTAGCTGTCAGTGTAATCGTGGAGGGCTTAGCCAGGGCTAGCTGAGCAGCAGGAGAGAGGGGAGCAGCCTGAGATCTTTCCAGGTTGCTCTTAATGAAGGCAGCCTCTGTTATCTCTGAGTCACAGCAGAGAGGCATCCAGGAAGCTCATGCACGCTCTCCACTAATTAATGTAGCTCTAATAGGCCTCCATGTCTGCTTACAGCAATCCTCAAAAAAAAGACACAGGCTGGAAGATTATTATAATAATCTTTTCTCAAGCAAAAAGATGTGGAAAGTTGCTATCTGTTTGCTTTTGAGATGGGAACTTAATTAGAAAATGGAAGGGAATGGGTTTGTCCTGAGCCAAATGTCTGGGAGTCTGGAGCTTGGTCTTGGGTTGAACTTTTCCCCAGTCAAAAATAACTGATACAAAAAGTATCAATTTGTCTGCAAGGAAGCAGCACCCTGCACTTTGGAGCTGTAGACAAACCAGGCTATTCAGCCAAGCTCATAAATATCCCTTTTGGAGCTCACAGCAACACACAGCACAGTGAGGAGCTTCTCCAGGCAATTGCAGTGACTAACGTATGGAGGAAACAAATTCTTCTATCATGTTATCAGGGCGCTTGTTACTTGCAAATGTAAAAGTCATTTTAACGTACTCATTAGTCAGTACAGAAGCTAATCTGCCTGGTGCAATGCCCTAAACTGGCTGGGGACAAAGCAGAGCATTGTGCTGTATGTAGAGCAGGACAAACCCTCTGCAATTTCCCACTGATCCCATTGATTTCATGACCCAAATAAGTAACCTTTTGAACAAACCCTCACTGGCACCTCAGAAGCAAGAGCAACTGCAATATTGAAAAGATATTTTTGGGCTTTATGGAAAAAAAAAATAAATAAATAAAGTGACACAAACCTTGCACTGGTATTGAGATTGGATTTATAATATTCCATGCAGTCTCTTATCTTAACATGTAATATTTCAGGAAGTGTGGAAATATGGCACTGAAGGGAACAGCTTTGTGGGTGGTGATGGGTTGACTTTTGGACTAGTTGGTCTTAGAGATCTTTTCCAGCCTGAATGATTCTGTGATGCTATGATAACTTACATGGATGGAAGAGTATGGAAGACCTATAGGGTACCTTTAGTTGTGGAATAATATTTGAAAGCGTGGGTAATGCCCTCCTATTTCACATATGTCCTTACCATATCCTGGGAGATGGTGACCACATTTTTCTTTAGTGAGAACTGGTTGGATGTGGAGGAGACCTTGCACTTGCTTTAAGGAACCAAGGCTGGCCTGAGACGGTGAGATATGGGGACTGAAAACTGGAGAGAGACCTCCAGGGAGTAGGAGTAATGGTAGGGTGATGCCCAGGTATTGAGTCTCTGGAGCTATGGTTATGTGAACATCAGTCATAGTGTCTTTAAATATTTTTTTGGTAGTACAGAAATTTGTCTTTAAAAAGTCTCTCAAATTTGTCCAGAATTTCAACTTTCAGGAACATTCAAGGAAAAAAGAAAATCCTAAAACTAAACAGAAAAAACACCCACCTCACCAAAACCCAGGAGGTCTCGAGATATCAGGCTATTTCATACTGAATTTAAAAAACATGAAGAATTACCTCTGCCATGATGCATGACAGCTTTTGAATTTGTTGTCTCAGAACAACGATAACTGAATGATAAAGATGTATACAGTCTGTTTTTCAGCTTAGCTTTCCCCCCTTGCTTTGCTTAGCAGAAGAAATGGCTTTGCCAAAGCATGAATCCTATATCCATTATGCATTAATGCTACCTGGGTATGAATGGCTGCTCTTCATATGGTAATCCCACCAAGAGTGAGTAGCTGTTTATAGTTAGGTGTCTCTACATGGAAAGGTGTATAGATCTAACAGTTCTTGATCCTTTTTGTGGTCTGCCTGAAAACCTGATTCTGTGTACATGGATTGATGTTTGGACTAGGCGATCTAAGTGGTCCTTTCCAACATCAATGATTCTCGATTCTATGAAAGGCAAAGGGGGAGAGTCAATGGCAGAGCCAGGAAATGGTGTAGTATCTCTCTATTTGTGGTGGTTTTCTGCACAGAGAGTTCAAAGCCCAGCAACTCACCTGAGACATGGTTATGCCCTTGTGTTGGAAAGGACTGCTCTGACTCTGGCAAAACCTGATTTATCCTGAAAGCCTTAATCTCCTTGAAACGTTCCAGATATATGGGCTAATTGATGGAGTGATTTGTTTTCAATTGGTATCAAATCCCCTGAACTGAGGGGCTGAACCACCTGTTTCTAGCATTTGGGAGCATTTTGAAGATGCCATCTGCTACACTCAGCCATGGGCGTGCAACCCAGATGCTGACCAATACACTGGTGAAAGCTGTGGCTCAAAGAAAGCAGCCACAGCACCAGCAGAAAAAAAAAAAAAAAAAAAGTTTTTTTCTGAAGGTTTTTTGATTGAAAAGAGTATTTTGAGTTGGGAATAGCTGGTAATGGGTGCTGCACATGGTCCTATCCTTAACTTTCAGCAAGTTCAGCAATCGTTTAACACTATTTTATTTTCCAGATGAGCACACATAAACAGGTGGTGTTCTGCAGCTAGGCTTGGGTAGCTTTTGCTTACGCAGGTAAAAGTTGGTCTGTGTTGCAGTCTTCCATAGTAAGAACCAGAAAGAGCAAGTTTATTCTTTGGGAGTTGCTCTGCTGTGGACTGTAAGACTTAAGAATTTTTTTATTCTAATTAACTCTGTAAGAATGCAAAATTATTAGAAGTTGTCAACACCCAAAGAGCCACCTTTCACCGTCACCTACATGCCATCATATAGTCAGATCTATGCTAGCAGCTCTTTTCTGCTTTTACAGCTGGAAATCAGACAAGGCTGAGGAAGACCCCCTGTGGTAGCATGCTGTTGACTCTCTGCTTTCACTGGCCAAGCTCAATGATTCTGGTGCTTATGAGACATTTCATCTGCTTACTTGCTTGTAGTATTACCATGCCACCATATGTTCCCTAACCAAGGCAATGGAGATGACAGAAGTATGAATTCATAGATATTTCCTTTGAAGCCTCACCATTTGGTGTTGAAGTTTCTTTTCCAGTATCTTTCCCTTTTGGGGAGGACCTGATAGCAAATATCTGTTAGTGATTTTCTGTCACTTTCCTCTATTCCCCTGAAGCAACTGGTTCCACATCTCTGCTCTGCAATGGCAGCAATGCTTCTTCTTTCTGACTTAGGCAATAATGGTATTTACAAAGATTTCATTCTAATGTACTTATGAATACGACTAGATTCCTCTTTCACATTATATCTTGATTAGGTTCTGCTTTGTTTTTCTCCTGAAAAGCAGGCTTTCCATTTATTTTCCTTGGATGTTTTTAAGCTGTATCACCATGTATAATCAAGATGTTATAATTACAATATAATTGTATAATCAATAGATATCAAGATGTTATGATTACAATATAATCAAGAGAATTAGGCAAAGTAAACAACAACCACAAAGAGAATTAGTGGAAGAGCTTACCCTTCAGCTGAGCTCACCAGAAGACACCAAGAGGGGTGATCTCCAGAAGAGATCCTTCCCCTCTGGTAGCCAGCTCTTAAATAGGTCTAGGAGGGGTGCAGCCAGGCTCCACCCCTTCTGGCAGCACAGGTGAATTGCCTTCACCTGTGCTCCTCTGGCTGACTCATGGCTCGCCTCAGGTGATCAATCAGAGGTTCAGGCCGTGACTCAGCAGTTACCATACACACCAGAACAAGTGATCCATCCAGAGGCCTATTTGCCTCTCACTGTTTTTGCCATTGTGCTGTTGGACACTTGATGGTACCATTTGTAAATTTGTACAATTTTTTTTTAATGTAAAGTTTCAGTTACTTGTAGATAGAGCCTAGAGCCGAAAGAGATGACCAACAGAAAGCTTGCTCCACAAAAACTTAATCACAAGACTCTCTTCCTACTCTGCTCCTGAAATGTCAGCAAGTAGTGAGTTTGTGTCTAAAAATCATCCCCAAGGTACTTGAAATTAGGCACTCAAAAATGATTAGATCTCAAAATTGAATCTGTCTTCAGCAGTACAGGCATTCGTATCTTCATTTTTCAGGTTTGCCCACCAGAAAAGCAACATCTACTCCTACCTGAATAGATTTGTGGAAGCAAAAAGCAGTGTTTATTGCTGCAAGACAAGCGTCTCTAAGCAAGACATGCCTTTTTAAATCAGCAGTGGTAGGCTATTATTTCCAAGTAATTTTAGGATTCATTCTTTTATTCTCAGTTCTTATATTTACCAGTGGAAGCATTCAGCTATTTAATAAGCCATTTCTGATCAGCAACCAATTGATAAAGCTCCAAGTTGTGCCAGCTGGTCTCAAACTTAAGCCAGTGTAATCGCAGACCAATGCTGAGATAACTGCTCAGAACAAGGAGCTCTTACTATATGAGACCAATAGCAGACCTTGGTAATAACAATAATCCTCAGTGTAAACCCCACTGTCCGTTAATCACGAAGCCATGCCATCATAGCTCACATAAGATGCAGAACTATAACATCTGGCTTCTATTTGAGTGGTTCAACACAGAGCAGAGTCGTGTTTTGTCTCTTTAATGCCCACTGACAGCCCGACTTCTCCAGCTACTTTGCAGTCATCTGGAAGGTAATGAAAACATATCTAATTTCTCTTTGCCTGGTGAGACAACGTTATCTAGCTCAGCCTACGTGCACTGAGTGTTCTTATAAGACTGAGCCTGAGCAGTTTAAGACCTGTGGAGGAGTTAACTTCCTGGCTTTTTGAATGAGTGGTGCCATATTTAGCCCCGACTGCAGGGCTCTCTGGATGGGTATTCAGCAGAGCAAGGGGTCAGGAGCAGCTGTGCTGCAGAGGATTGAAGACACCAGGGGCACCAGGGGTGAAAGAGATGGCTAATTGCTAGGGGATGCAAGGGAAGAAGGGGGACAGGTTATTTACAAGGTCACTGCTCATCCAGACTCTGACCAGAACTTACAGGGAGTTGTCATTTCAGGCATCTCATAATAAATGCTGCCACTGTGCTTGGTGCTGGGCCCAGCACTGGTGCCTGGTTCTGGATCCATGCAGCAGGAATACTGTGTTCAGTTTTGGGCCCCTGATTTCAAGAAAGAAATTGAGGCTCTGGAGTGTGTCCAGAGAAGGGCAATGAAGTGTTGTAGAGTCTGGAGCACAAATCTTATGGGAGTGGCTGAGGGAACTGAGACCTTATTGCTCTCTACAGCTCCCTGAAAGGAGGCTGTAGCAAGGTGGGGGTTGGCTGCTTTTTCCAAGTGACAGTGATAGGATGAGAGATAGTGGCCTCAAGTTGAGCCAGGAGAGGCTCAGATTGGATATTAGGAAAAATTTACTGTCCGAAAGAGTGATGAGGTATTGGCACAGGCTGTCCCTGGAGGTGTTCAAAACCACATAGATGTGATAGTTAGAGACATGATTTGGTGGTATGATAGGGATGAGTTGATGGTTAGACTAGATGATCTTAGTGGTTTTTCCAACCTTAACGGTTCTATGACCCTCTGGCAAGGGCAGGGCTTCCCAGTCACAGTAACACAGTAAGGAAAAACAAGCAGAGTAAGAACACATGGACACAGAAGCTGCCATGCAGAATCAGGCCTGTTATCCTGGCACACTGGAGGAAAATCAGAATCACTGCCTTTATGACTGTCACAACATATTCCAGCTGTTGCAATTCATCTCTCATTTTCTGCATCAAAATAATTTTATTTTCTCTTATGGGAGCTTTTAAACTGTTATTCCAAAATTCATAGTATTTTTATATGGTGGGAGAAATAAGATTTCCTTTTCTCTTTCATACAGGATCAACTGCAAAATTTGTGTAGATGACTGTGAGGTGACAATGGACTCAAGGTATGCAGCACATTTCCACATCCTTTTCTTGCACTGCTGTGTTTATCTGGCACAGATTCAACCATTAAACTGCTTCCTGAACTTTGGCAAGCTCAGTGCCATGACCAATGTCTAAGTGCAATGTCATTACTCACCTACCTAAATAATTCAGTTATAGTCATGGTGTACTTAGAATATGAGATATAGAAGAATTACGAAGAGACACATCCTGCTGGCCAAGCTGAGAAGCTTTCAGCCTGCATTTCCATCTGCCTCCATTTCCATCTTCCTCTATATCAGGGGAAAGAAAGAGGAAGAGACACTTTCACCACAATTTTTATACTTCAAAATTTGCTAAAGGTGAAGTCCTTTCAAAGTGCTCACACTTTGTACAAGTGGAGTATGATGAATGGTGTTTTCTCAAAAGTTGTCTGCACAAGTAACCACAGGTGAGGCTGGAAGAAGTTTTTATGCCTACTCCATGTTCTCCCATGCTGAGGCCAGATGGGATCATTAAGTTATCAGGCATGACAGCTCATGCATCACAGCTGCAGTATCTTTATTTTTAAGTAGGGTGAAGATTTTCATATTGACTATCCTGCAAGGTTTTACTCCTTGTTTTCTCTAATCCTCTATGGCTTGTTCTGCTCGTCAGCCTTTCCCTTTTTCATTCCCAATTCCCTCTGTTCCAACATCAGGACTCTCCCCTCCACCACGAGGATTATTTGCTACTGCAGTGCCTGCATTAAAGCCTACATCTTCTGATACCTTCCCTGCAGCAATCTTCAGCACTTTCAGACTGCGGATGAAAGAAGTTCTTTCCATCTCTTCTTCTGCCTCCTCCCATCGCTGTCACTTGCTGCGTTTATAACTGTGAGATGTGTTTGTAGAGCACAGAGCTCCTATTGAGAGATGCAGGTTGAATTCTCATTAGAACACCAAATGAGCCAATTGAACTTCTGATTTTTTAATAAACATTTTAGCTCAAAATAGTCATACCTTTATAAAATCATTGAAAACCACTGCAAACAATTAATTCCAAAAATGTGCAACAACAGAACTGTACATTTGTTAGAGCACAGATTTTTCTCTCTATATTTAATCATTTTTTCTGTAATAAACACATGATTGACAAATCAGTTTCTGCATAACATTTTAAAAAAATTCACTTCTAAACTCATTTTTAGGTGCAGAATGAAGTTATCACCGCCACTGAAGCTACAGCAGGATGTTAATGATGATGTACATACAGTAAGGCAGAGTCTGAACGAGCAGCCAAAGAAGTAAGATGTGAAAATATTCTAAGATAGTTCCAGTTTCTCAGAGGAGTAGTTATGTTATGGTTTCTGTTTACAAGGAGTGAGATGTATTTCAGGTTCACTAACTCTGCCTGATTTTTATTTTTAACTGAAGCGCTTGTGTACAATTGGTTACCATGAGAGCTGTAATCCTATGTTCCTCCTCCAACTAGCCTACGACTGAGTGCACCTGGCAACGTGTAGATGAAGAGCACCAAGAAGACGATGAGAATAAGCAGAATTATGCAGATGATGATGTACTTCTTGTAATTTCTCCAGATCAGGTGGTACAAACACTTGAAAGGATTGACAAACCAAGAGAAGGATGTGTCTGGTCGGCTAAGGAAAAAGAAAGAAAAAAAGAAACAAAAGCTTTTGTAAAGGCAGTATATTAACTGTATATAAAGATACAGTTATTTTCAAAATTACCCCATTACAAAACATATATCTCACCCAAAAAAAGACCTTTAGACCTTTAGCTCCTGGCAGTCCACTAAAAGGTTTAGAGAGAATTGCTATGATTTTCACATACTCTTGGGTCACACACCTACCCCTGGCTTCAAGTTCTACACTGCTAAGAATGAAATTCCAGTTCCCCATTCCTAACTCTTCCAATTTAGGGCAAGATGTTGGGCTCAGAATTAGAGAAAAGATTGTGAGAAATCCTAAAGAAAAATACAAGCATCTTAAACTTGGGTATGAAAGCTCTCTATTTGTTGCAAAGAATTTAGCATTGCAAAAGGAGTAATGCGTCACTACAAAAAGTCTGTGTGGTGATAGTCACAGTGCCATAACAGGCAGTCAGCTCAGTCTAGCATACTGCACCAAGCGACATGTTGTCAGGGTTTTAAAACAGGCCTCCTGAAAATGAGATGAGAGGAAACCCAAAATCTAGGTAGATTGTATATGGGGAAGATTAGCCACTTTATGGTGAGGCACATCTGTGCTCTGCAATCCTCTGTTTCTTCCAAATATTGTTCATTCTGCTCCGTAACCACTTTCTTCAGCTGGCTGCATAGCCAGGGAAGCAGAGTTCCCCTTAGGAAATATGTTGCTGTAATCTCTCTTCTGGCACATCACATAGCTTGGGAGGTCATTACACCTCTGACTTCAGCAGCCTTACCCTTGCAATGAGGTGAGCCAACATCTATGAGCATGTGTGATGGGATGATCTGCAGTAGTGTAGAGCAGCAATAGTAGAATGCAGTAGTGCTGAGCAGCACTAACAATAGCAAAATTGGGTGCAAATTTTCTATGTTATAAAATACCACTATAATAGTGCAGATGGTATAAAATAAAATAAAGGAGAATAAAATAAAGGAGAATAAAATAAAGACTGAGGGTTACAAAAATTAGTAGACATATTTTAAATCAGAAAGCTGCCTAAGGAATTTA